TGACTGCCAACGCCATCTGTATCTTGTACATCAAATGAAGAGATTATTTCTTTTTAATGTTTGTAAGATACTAATCAGTTTCCCAACAATGTTAAATTGTAATATTATAGTACATTATTTTTATAATTATACAGGGTGTTTATAAAGTCTTGTACCCATTTTGATGTTTAATAACTCATAAAATAATAAAGATAGATTACAATTGATAACATAAATGGTTAGATACACTCAAAAAGTTTCATGACCTTTGTCAATGAACTTCGTGTGCTCTCTTCGTCGCACGGATAATATCAAGTCGATATTCAATTTCACGTCAGGTACCGGCAAGCATGTCGGCATCCACAGAGGCTATTGCAGTTGAAATTCTGGCTTTTAGGTCATCAATGTTCGACACTCTCATTCTGTAAACGTTGTCTAATACAAATCCCCAAAGGAAAAAGTCCAGCGGTGTTATATCTGGTGATCTGCATGGCCAAGGAATTAAACCTCCTCGCCCAATCGATCTTCCTGTAAAATGGTCATTCAAAGAACTACGAATGATGGTACCCCAATAAGGTGGTGCACCATCTTGTTCAAAAAGATATGTGGCTGAAGCTCTTCTAGTTGTGAAAATAGGAAGTTTTCCAACAGGTCTAAGTATACGACTGATGAGACCGTCTTTTCTGTAAAAAAAAAAAAGGCCCAATGACTCGGTCGTGCATTAGTCCACACCACACATTAACCTTTGGGGAATCCCTTTGTGCCTCACAGTATTCATGGGGGTTTCCAGATCCTCATATGCGCACATTATGGCGATTAACAATACCAGAAAGATGAAAGGATGCTTTGTTGGAGAACATTATGCGCTTCAGAAATTCAGCATCATCTTCTATCCTCCTTAGCATATCTGTTGCAAAGGCCATCCTCCTAGGCCTATCATCCGGTTCCAAAACTTGAACAATTTGAACTTTGTATGCATGCAGTCTTAATTTTTTCTTAATATCCTTGTACACTGTCGAAATTGGCATATCCAATTCTCTTGCCGCTGATCTCACAGATCTTCTAGGATTGTGTAAAAATGTCTCTCTGATACGCTCAACATCAAAATCACTTGTGCAGGGACGTCCGGAACGTTTCCTATCTGCGATACTTCCAGTTTCTAGACCATTTTTTTTCCACCGCGAGATGCTGCTTTTGGATGGAGGATCTTTTGGTAAATTCTTCTGCAATTTCTCTGTGTTTGCATTATGGATTTCGTTTCTATGAACCACCATAAAATCTGTGCTTTCTCTTGTGGTGTATGCATTCTCCTTAATATTCGGTCGAATAAAACACCACATACAAAAGTACTAAAACAAACAAACACATCAAAAGTAAACATAACATTGCAATAGTTGCCAAAAACAAAAGAGAGAAAAATTCAATTAATAAGCAGACAATATTTAGAAAAGTACAGATATTTAGACTAGAAAATGAAATTATCTGAAATTAATCACACGCGCAGACAATATTTACAAAAGTAAAGATATTCAAACCTTAAAAGGAAAATATATAAAAGTTATTCATCAATAAATGCCATAAGTTTGTTTATACCTTCATTATTTTATGAGTTATTAAACATCAAAATGGGTCCTGGACTTTATAAACACCCTGTATTTCCTCTTAATTCTGAATGCTTTTAGTTGCTGATTTTTTAATATAACTAAACACTGTTTATCATTAATGAATTTAATTTTTATATCTTTTATACATTTTAGTAATTCTATAAGCTGTGCAACAAAAGCTTTTTTTCTTTTAAAATTTAAGACAGCCAGAAATAGGTAAAGAAAACAGATCTAATACAGGCATGTTATAAAGTCTATGTCTTTTAGGAAGCATATACGCAGCAGAGGGGACTTTAAAAAGAACTACTGAAGAATTATCTTCTAGCCTTGTGAAACAAAACAACAGTCAGGAGAAGAATGCATAAGACCCTTTAATTCAAATTCATTCAAATTCATGTACAGGTTTCTTTTCTGTCAGGATGAAAAACAGAAAGCAACAAACTTGAATAATTTTTAGGAATTATAGTAAGTTTATTTAAAAAAATTTCGGAAATCATTTATCTCCTTATAGAATGCTCAAAGATTCGAACTTAATAATAAAAATTAAGCTTTTCGCATATTTTCTTGGACATATTCCAGTCTCACATTACAATTAACTGATTTCACATTTCTCAATATATACTTCTATGTCTTTCAAAAAAAAACTCTGAAAGCTTTCAGATTTTCTATTACGCCCATAGAGGCGTTTTTTTCAAGGCGGATTTAAAACGAGATTTGAAAAGTGATCCAGGCATTTAAAGTCATTTGACGCAAAATACCGTTAGACAATGTAATGTCTTTGCGTAGCTACGCCACCTACATAATATTGGTAAAAAATGTGAAGAAACCCCACACATAAAAAATCCTTGATGATGCAAACGGTTTTGAACTATTACTAGTTAAAACTAAATACGTAAACATCACAATGTAAAGGAAAATATGTTTTGGTGGTGAATTGGCATGATATGGCAGCAACAAATACTCCCATTCCCTGCAGTAATGTATAAAAGTAAATTTTCATAATTTTAATAAAATTGATTTTGTTAAACTTAGAAATGCTTATATGCCATTCTTTACAGCATTTAAACCATTTTTGCAACTGGAAGTATACATCTACAACCAACAGTTATAAAAATAAAGGCTGGGCAAGGACCTCTGTGGAAATGGTGTATATAAATTCATAGAATAGTATTTAGTTAGATTTCAGGTGTATGTCTAATATATATTTTTTTGTCTTTTTGTACTAACTGCACTTGTCTTTTCTGTTAATTCGTTAGTCACTACTTTCTTTTTAAAGATAGCTTTTTTATGTAGTAAACATCAGCAAGTGAATTATTTGCTTCTTGTCTACAACTTTGATGACTAGCATGGTACATGAATTTTAAAATTTTTAAAAATTAATACATACACAGGATGACATAATGAGTTTTAAGGTAATTAAAAAGTTAAAATTATTGATTGTTAACAAAAAGTGGGATTTCTGTTTCAAATTAAAAAAAAAAAAAAAATTAAACTGAAGTTTCTTACAATGCGAGTCGCATGAATCCTGTGAATTTGGACATGTCTAGCATAATCCACCTATACTGTATATTTGTTTCAGTTTCTCATAGCCTACTATATTTATGAGATAAAAACACCTGATAGTTTTCAAAATGAAAAATACTTCATAATATGATATTAATGGTGTAATAATTTACAATGAAAGGGTAGAAAGAATAGATACAGAGTATAAATTATTTGCTCAAAAAAATTTAACATCTTAGAAACTGTATCTTTCAACTGATATTCATTAGTCTGCATATACAAGCTTAACAATACCTACTATATTAAATTTTGAAATATTTGTAATTTCTTGCATTTTGTATTATTTGAGATAACTCTTCTTCCCAAATTATAAAATGAAATTTTAACAAAACTTCAGTACTCATATAGTCTGCTGTGTTGCACTACTTACAAAACCATTTAACCATTTATAAAACACTTTCTGAATATCTATCAGACTTTATTTGAAAAAGTAACTCGGTGGTTGTAACATGGCCAAGCAGAGACCAGTACTCTCTGGCAAACTAAATTCTGTGGCGAGAGCTATTATCTGAACTAACAGTGACTAATTATGCTAGCAAAAACTTCCATTTCGAAATTATCATATTTTTGAGCCCAACCTTATATGTACATAATAAGTAATAACGTACCTTAGATAAAATACAGCAGAGGAGAAACCTGATTGTTTTCTTAATTGTTAATTCTGCTGTCAGTCTTTGACTAGTCGAGTAAAAATCAGCATTTTTGCAATTATATGCATGTATGTATATATGTATATACTTTCAAATATTTTTAAGGAGTTTATAAAACCACAATGAAAAAGAAAATAAAACCCAGACACAAATTTGTACAATGTACTGCAAGATTTGAAAATAATAAATCAAAATCTCGAAAATCAGAAAGAAAAAGAAAATGCCGTAAAATTACAAAATTGTAATAAAAAAATTTTCACTTCAAAGTGAAAGAAAGTATAACAAATGGGAAATTTGTACATATTTAAAACCAAAAGATCAAAAAAAAAAAAAGTCTAAAGAAAAATGAATACAATTATTAAATAGTCAAAAGAAGAAAGAATGCTTACCTGACATGGTTTAAAGAGCATATATTTCTGTTTACCGAAGCAACTAGGTTTTCAATGAAATAAAAATTATAATAAATGTTTTTCGATAACTCATATAGATAAAAAAAATCCACAGGATGACATAATGAGTTTTTAAATGTAACAAAACTTATGTTACCAGAGCAATAAAAATACTACAATAAATTTGCCTGTTCAAGATAATAAGTTTCCTTTCTTCTTGTAGTTCAGGTTTTCTGTTTAATAACTCATTATGCTAACTTTTGTATGCTGATCCTTAAGCTAGATAATTTAGTGAAACATTTTTAAAACTGGCTGTAAACTTAAAAAAGCAGTCTGTTATAATACAACATGATTTTTTACAATAAGATTCATACCTGCGATATAACTGAAAAGGTACTTAATTTAAAATAAATGTCCAAGTAATCAATTTTAATGGAGCAAATGATTAGCAACATTTAGAATAAAATGTTAGTAAAAAATACAATTTTTAAAGTATTTGTCATTTATTTTGTAAAAGAAATCATAGTTTTGTGATAGAATCCTACCTTAAAATATGACTTCCTTTGATCACATACCAGCCAACCCTTATATTAATGCTCAGTCGTAACCAGAACTCAGATCTGTTAATTTTGCATCTATAACAAAAATATACTTGTCATCTTTGTTTTATGTGGTATTTTATGTAGCAGCCCCTAAAACATTTGATTTTAAAGATTTAATTTTGTATGTATTTTATAGAGATCACATAAGTTAAAATTATACCCATAATTTTGTCAACATGCTTTGAAAAAATTATAATAAGGAAGTTAAAGAGCTGCAAGAGTAGCATCCAATTTTATTATCAAATGTCTTTTAAAAACAAATTCTATACAAATCATATAACATGAAATTTGCAAAACAGTTTTAAATCTACTTTATGCCATAAATTTACTTTCATGAAATGAAAGCCATTCTTTTCAAAATGCAATTTTCTGCATGCTAAATATATTGGTAATGTCAAATTTCACATTTATTTGCTTATCAATGTCTGCAAAATTATCAAAAAAAAAAAAAAAAAAAAAAAAAAATTGCAAGAAATAAGAAAATTAAAGTAACAGGAATTAAGCATTAGACATAAGAAACAAACTGTATTTTATATTACATTATTTTACTTTAATTTTTATATATACAGGCACTTCCCACCTTATAAACTTTTGCATACAAGCAGAAGACTTATTCTAAAAAAATAAAACTTGTTTGGCGTCAAAACGAATTCAGAGCCTCAGATTTTTTTAAAAACAAGACCAAATTCTGAAAGGTTTGCTAAAGTCTGCTGCTCACGATGTTGTACAGTGCTTTCATCTTATTTACAGTGAAAGAAAAGAAAACCTGCTCAGACAAGTTTAGACAATTATGTTTTAAAAAAAGACACATCAGAAATTGGTGTTGCTGGCCAATCTAACATGCCAACTCATTCCACCTCTCATACAGTCTCTTCATACCGAACGCCCCTTTTACTTGCTGATGAGTCTCCAGAGGGCATGTCAAACAATGCTTCATTCCCACCCATGTAAAAATCTGCTAGCCTTATCCTTATATGCTTAAAATTGAGTAAACAATTCCAGGTACATACTACACAATAAAGTTATTTGGTATTTTTCTGTAATACACCTGACAGGCCTTTTGGTGTATAGCAGATGATGATTTATTGGCCATCATCTGCCATGTGGTATGTTTGTTAGTAGGTGTGCACATGTGGCTTTTTTCCCTCCCCCATCTGTAAACTATACTTATAACTGGAAATTATTTGCAATTAAAAAAACATACTGACAGGTTTATAACATGAAAGTGATTCCTTATTTATTAGTAATATACTGTATTCGAAGTTTAAAATGTATTATTTACTTGTTTCAGTATTTAATTGTGCATTTGACTGCATTTATAGTTCTTATCTCCAAAACACTGTTAGGAAATATGCATAGGAAACTTAATAACATTTTTCAAATAAATTCATGGTATGAATGGCTGTTCAGAATGTAATTCGTTCACATGGTGGGAAGTGCTAACACATTTCTCAATACCTCTCATTATTATCAAAAGTCTTAATAATAAGAAAAACTGTGATCACTTATAGAGAAATTATGGCACTTCCATACTATAGAGGCCCATATTTAATTGTGTATTTGACTGCATTTATAGTTCTTATCTCCAAAACATTGTTAGGAAATATGCATAGCAAACTTGATAACATTTTTCAAATAAATTCATGGTATGAATGGCTGTTCAGAATGTAACTCATTCACATGGTGGGAAGTGCTAATACATTTCTCAATACCTCTCATTATTATCAAAAGTCTTAATATTAAGAAAAACTGTAATCACTTATAGAGAAATTATGGCACTTCCATATTATAGAGGCCCCCCTCCCCAAGACTGAAGCGCTAATCAATCAATATATCTTGCCATGTGTTCTTATACCTCGCTACATGTCACATTTTGGTTGATTATATATTAAATTTTGGGGCCCACTATAATAAGGAAGTATCGAAATTTTTCTATGACATATATTCTGATGATTTTTGTATTTGTACTGGTTACTAATAATTATAAATATCATCATGTTTTAAGCCTTTTTTAAATATTAATATTACTCTAAGCATAAGATTTCATTCTACATCAATATTCAAGCAAAGCTTAACAATCCACAGAAGAATACAAGCCAGTTAGTTTTTACTTTCCTTAGGCAGATACCCTTGGACATTTTGTCTACATGATAACATGAACAAAGTACCATGATTTACATTTGAAGTTTTTACATTTACCTTACATCAAAGCAATAAATATCATACATATGATTCAAAATATTAGCATATTTATATGCAATCTACTTCTGCACATATTTTACAAAACTGTGGTAACAGTCAGATTCAGTTAAGCAATATAACTGTAATTATTTTACAGAAATATTTACCACAGAAGATTTCAAAATTAAAATAATTATGTAGTAAATCACCCACTTATATGACACATATCAATATGTACATGGACAAAGTCAAGGAAGTGCGTAATTCTCTGATATTTTTTAAAGTGAAAATAGATAGATGTGTACATGGATACCGAGTTCGCGAAACTCTTTGACTTGTTATTTTCAAGTTGATGGAGAATTGGCCACTTACATGGCACGCATCGAGGTGTACATGGACAAAGTCAAGAAAGTCTGTAATGCCGAGTTTGTGCAAGTCTCTATTTTTTTAAGTGAAAATAGGTCGATGTGTACATGGATACTAAGTTTGTGCAAATCTTTGACTTGTTATTTTCAAGTTGGCAATTTTGAGAAATGCACGAAGCAGTGGGTGATTCTGTGCTTTCCCCTTATTATGTAAGTGTAAATGACTTAATTTAAAAGACTGCATATTCCATCAGCTTGTTATGTTCACAAAAAGTGTCAAGTTTTTCTATGAATAGAAAAGGAAATAAATTTGAATCATTGTCTTTAATGATAACTTTATTTTATATGAAACAATAAAGTCTGAAACTTTTATTTAATTAACTAATACAAGATTGTTAAGATACTCAAATTTATCATAAATAAAAAATTCATTTCATAATGCTTTATATACACAATAATTATCCCAGCCTTTTAAGCATTTCAAATTCATAGCAGTATAGTTTATATATTGAGAAAACTGTGCACATGAATACATAAAATAAACAATATTTATAATTACATTAATACTTTTTTTTAAAGATTTGTGGCCCAACACAATTAGTTGAGAAATCTATAATACACCAGTTAGTTTTAGAACTTTAAAAATGAGGCATACAAACTTTACCGGCAAACAGTTCAGAAATTACTGTTATCCACAATGCTAATACGAAAAATATGTAGGATAGCCCAACCTGGTGGCTACTCGGTAACTGATATGCTTCTCCACCGATTTCTTCCATGGTGAAACCCATAGGAAAAATTACAGCAGCTAAACAAAACAGGACCATTGCTGAAAACCCGACCCATCTAGCATAAGGAACAACTTGTTCATTCCAATGAGACAACATTAGTAAGCCCACTGTAGTGGACACGCAAATACAACCAATTATGATGCATATTAATGATAGCATCCATTCTGGCTGCAAACTTGGAGAAAAGCAAAGCTGCTGACGACCATAGATTGTCATACAATTTCGAAGAAGGCCAAGTCTTGTATTACCTCCAACATCTGACACTATCCAATCGGGTAAAGTCAAACTAATGATGGCGAAAACATTAGCCGCTAGGAACAACGCTCCAGATATTACCGTCAGCCTGTCCATAGCTGCTTAATTAAAAAAAAAAAGATTACATAAGTTACATTTTAACTCAAAAATCTCGGCTTAAGAGTTCATGACAGGATACCAGTATATATTATATTAACATTTACATGATCACATTCATGTATTGATACTACATGATAGTAATTTGTTTGAAAACATTCGATACGAAAGTTGAAGTTTTTATCATGACATGAGCAAGCGCAAAGTAGGAAGGATTAGTTCTGAAACGAGGCATGGTGAAAAGAATTTTACATGTATATAAACAGAATGTAATAATGTGAGTTACATATTAAAGAATAAAAATATACATATGACTAAGGAGAACCTTAGTCATATGTATATTTTTAAAAATATAAAAAAGAAAAAAAAAGGAAATTTTAAACGACATGCAAAACGAAGATCAGACGCAAACCGAAGGAAAGGGTTAAATGAATTGCCGATCATAATCTGCAAAACGGGTATTTTTCTGGAATGGGTACCATTTTGAATTTATGAACTTTTTTAAAATATGGTTACTTTTATCAAGTTACTTGCATATTTACTCTGGTAAAAGAAAAAGACAAAAAGGAGAACAGTTATTTATTCGAGCGTTCTGGCAACAGAGAGAAACCAGAAAAAAACCGTAAAAGTAGCACCTTTTTTTTTTTTTTTTTTTTTTTTTTTTTTTTTTTTTTTTAGAACTTTAACTTGAATTTGACTTTTGGGATACAGTAGTAGACTCCCGATTATCCGCGCCTGCCGCACAAAGTTTTTTTTTTTTTTTTTTTTTTTTTTTTTTTTACAAGCGTAAAGCAAAGAAAATAAAAATGTTCACGAAACTGAGAGAAACGTTAAATTTGCTAACAACGTGCTTATTTATGGAAAAAATATCCCAGGCCTTCTCGGAAACTTCCCCTCTAATGAGTAAATGATTTCTTACTCACCCTTGCAGTGCCCGCTCCAGCCCTCTCTCTCGTCTTAATCTTACTGACACGTCCACTTCCTCCCACTCGACATTGTTAGTTTAAGCCTGATAGTGTTTGCGAACCGGTCGGAGTTAATTACTGTGTTCAGTGCTTGTGCTTTTTGGTTTTGTTTTTCGTTACCGATTTAAAATGTCAGGAAAGCGAAAGAAGGTTGTGTTGACGATTGCGCAAAAACTAGAATTAATTTCCAAAGTAGCAAACAACGCTACAAGGCAGCAGATGGAATTGGATTACGGAATCGCGGAAACAACAATGCGTGAGATTCTAAAGCAAAAGGACAAACTGGTTATCTTTGCATCAATGTCGGACAGTGCTTCCGCAATGAAATCGCGAAAAACTATGAAGGGTTCTACCTTTGATGAGCTAGACACGGCATTGACAGAGTGGTTAGCTGAAGTTCGAAAAGAGTGTACTCCTGTAAATGGTCTTAGGCCTGAAAGGAAATTTTGATGCGTCTTTTGGCTGGTTGACTCGTTTTAAGCAGCGACATGGAATTCGAGAAATTGGACTTCATGGGGAGAAACTTAGTGGTGACCAAAGAGCAGCCGACGATTTCCACCATGGATTTGAAGAATTTGTTTTAAAAGAAGAGCTATCTTTTGAACAAATTTACAATGCCGACGAGTCGGGACTTTTGTGGAAATGTCTTCCCACTCACACTTTAGCATTTGAAAATGAAAGTAAAGCGGCGGGTCATAAAAGCAGCAAGGAAAGGATCACTATAATGTCTTGCAGTAACGCTACCGGTGGACATAAACTTAGACTTGTTGTCATTGGAAAGTAAAAAAACCGAGATCTTTCAAAGGCACAAGGATATAAAATTTGCCCGTTGATTACTTTAACAAAAAAAAAAAAAAAAAAAAAAAAAAAAAAAAAAAAAAGATGGATGAACCGAAACATTTTTCAAGAATGGTTCGAAAAAATCTTTGTTCTTTAAGTGCGTAAACATCTTAAATCGAAAAACCTGCTTGAGAAAGCTGTGTTGAAATTATTTCTTTTCTCTCCTGATGGAGCCAATTTCCAATTTTTCTTTTATTATTTATCGTCTGTCGCCAACTAGGTCACGTGACTGGCGGCAGAGAAAGAATGTAATAACTGGTTTAGTTTAGCTTGAGTGCGACGCTTGAAATGATCTTCTTGGCCGCATAGCGGTAATCAACAATTATAATAATTGTTCTTGATAAACTAATCTTGGCCCTATGATGGGAAATTTATATTATATGTATATTTTGTGCTTTCAATAATGTAAATAATGTACATAAGCTCTTCATTAAATATTTCTGTGTTTCAACTGGAAGTTTTTATTTTCAAGTTGAGTCTTTACGTGGAAATGGTATATTGACTCTTGATTATACTAGTATATTCTTGATTAATTTGATGCTTTCCCAAATCGTGAAAAATAGAATCGGAATTCGTGATCATAAACGCTCAAGTTTTTATACATGTTTCTGGTACCGAAATTCCCGGACATTTAGATACTACGAAATCGAAACAATATATTTCTTGATATGTCCTGTGCTGGAGTAATGGAAGGATACCTGAAAATATCAGGTAAGCCATTTTCTTTCATTTTTGAAGTATTCAACCTTGAAAAATAATGATTGAGTTACATAAAAATATTGAATATTTATGTTGATTTATTGAAATATTACCTTGAAAGAATAATAAATTGATTGATGCTTGAAAAATAATTTATATCTTAATCGAAGGAAATTTGTGGGCTATAATATATTGTTTTTAAAGGAAGTGCTTAAAATATTGAAATACTGTACTTTAATTTTTATTACAATTATTTGTTGAATTTTATAAGGTTATATTCCATTACTTGAAATATGGAAAATATAGACAAATTAAAGTTGAAAAGAGCTGCTATCAGATCTGCAATCACTAAACAAATAAATAAAGCAGAAGATTTGCTGAAAGCAGCGATTGAATGAACTGACACAGATTCCTTGTTAGAGTGTCAGGATATTTTGTCAGAAAAAGAAAATTCTTTAAATGAAATTGATAAAGAGATAGATAAATTGATTGAAGATAAAGCTGAATATGAAAAAGAAATTAAAATCGGTTGAAGAATACTCTCTCATAAAATTTTGAGTATGAAATCCAAAATTAAGAATAGGTTAAGAAAAATGTACAAGCAGATACTGAAGTTAACGTAGTTCAAAATGTACCTGTAACTAACTCCTGTAATCGAAAATAAATTTGTTGCGGCAGTTAAGTTGCCGAAATTAAATATTGAAAACTTCTCTGGGGATCCCAGCACTTATTTAGAATTTATTAACTGTTTCAAGAATGCTGTGGATAACAATGATTCTTTGTCAAATATAAGTAAATTTCAATACCTGAAATCTCTTTTGACAGGTACTGCATATAATGTTGTATCAGGGTTTGATCTCACTGATGAAAATTATGATGAATGCCTAAAATTGTTAAATGAGAGATATGGTAGGCGGGATACAATCATAAACTGTCATATAAATAAAATTTTGAACTTAGAGCCAGTAAAATCATCAAATAATATAAAGGGACCATCTGTATTCAACGTAAATGATATAGTGCTTGTTCATGATGAAAACTTACCTAGAAGCTGGTGGAAATTAGGAAGAATAACCAAAACTTTTATTGGTAGAGATGGAATGATCAGATCTTGTGAAGTGAAAACTGGTAATTCGGTAATCAAACGTCCATTGCAGCTATTGTACAATTTAGAAATTGATGATATCAATAATTGCAATAATCAGTGACTGGTCAAAAATTAGACTGAATGACAGATAAACTGATAATTTTTTTCCATAATGTTTTCATTTATTCATTTTATTATTTTCCTTGGTTTAATGATTTATGGTGATCTTGAGAAATGTTAATTTAAATGTTTTGTTTTTTCTGTAGTTTCAGAAAAAATTTTCTTGATGTTAAGAAATTATTGATATAATGTGACCTTGTATATGTAAGTAATTTTTATTTATTGCTTATTGTTATAGTGATATTGTAATGGTAAGTTAAATTTGTGATGAACCTATTGTTCATCGGGGGAGGAGTTTGTTGAAATTATTTCTTTTCCCTCCCGATGGAGCCAATTTGTCTTTTATTATTTATCGTCTGTCGCCGACTAGGTCACCTGACTGGCGGCAGAGAAAGAATGTAATAACTCGTTTAGTTAAGCTTGAATGCGACGCTTGAAATGATCTTCTTGGCCGCATAGCGGTAATCAACAATTATAATAATTGTTCTTGATAAACTAATCTTGTCCCTATGATGGGAAATTTATATTATATGTATATTTTGTGCTTTCAATAATGTAAATAATATACATAAGCTCTTCATTAAATATTTCTGTGTTTCAACTAGAAGTTCTTATTTTCAAGTTGAGTCTTTACGTGGAAATGGTATATTGACTCTTGATTATACTAGTATATTCTTGATTCATTTGATGCTCTCCCAACTCGTGAAAAATAGAATCGTGAATTCGTGATCATAAACGTACAAGTTTTTATAAGCTGTGCTATTGATCGACAACGCACCTTCTCACCCAGCAACAAGCGTGCTAAAGTCTTCTGGTGGGGAAATTTTTGCAAAGTTTCTCCTCCCAAACGTTACTGCGCTAATCCAACCCATTAATCCATGGACCAAGGAGTCACTGAACAATGAAGAGAACATACCGAACCAAGCTGCTAATGACCGAAATTGAAGAAGGTTATGATCTGAAAGAGTTTTGGAAACATTACATAATCTTGGACAGCATGTACGATATAGCATCTGCATGGGACTCAGTGAAACCGTCAACCCTCATAAAATTATGGAGAAAACTCATGCCTAATGTTGAAGCCAGCAACAACCTAACCCCTTTGTGTCTTAATTAACCCCTTTGAATTGTGAGGAAGAGAATGAAGATGTAGACACACCAACTCTTGCCGATATGGTGAAAACAGTTCCGGGTGGTGAGAACGTCGATGCTGAAAACATTAACGAGCGGTTGGAGTGTGACGTCAACGAACCTGGCTTGGCTTCGAACGCTTGACAGATGACGAAAATTGTGAAGAAAGCAAGGGGAGAGACCGAGAATGAAGGAGAGCGAAAGTGAAGGCGAAGAAGAGCCCACTGTGCAGAGATGCGGAAGACTCACAAAGCGGCTTTGCAACAAGTCGACAGGACTGCTGAGCTATTTGGAAGAACAAGACTACGCGGATTTGGCCGAGAAACTTAT